TCGTGTCCTCGTGGTCCAGGCTGTTTTTGCCCAGGTGGGACCCTTCGGATGGATTCTCTTTGTTCTCCGTCATGCATGTGCTAGTACGGGAATGCGGCGGCCTCGCTTACGCATTAATCATTAAACGGGATCCGGATGGAGCCAGGATCATCACTCCTGTTTGGGTGCTTCTGCTGCCCAGAAGCTCATTCCTCACCAGGTTCAAACAAAGAAAAGACATTAGGAAGCCCGCTCAACCTTTATCGAACTATAGTGATGCGTCCGCGCGTTCTGGAAACGCGTGCTCCTCCAGTCGGGTCTGCCGGGTCCACAAAACACGATCCTCCTTGCAGATGAAGGTGTTGCTCCAGATTGCTCCACTTGATGCTTGGCTGGCGACACAACTTCTTCGAACCAGCACATGAGGTGCAAGCATCCTCTTTAATGAAGCGATTGTTGTACTGTGGACGACAATGAATGGTGGCTGCCGCAAGTTCTGCAAGCGCACCAGAAGAAGCCAAGGTTGATTGCAGTTACTGAATCCGAACTTAGCGCAAACTAGCTAGGCGAACGCATTTGCACCGTTAAGCTCCCAACACTCTCCCAACTACTACCTGAGCAAGCAACATCGTATCGAGACGATGCAAAGCCCAGCGAACAGAATTTGTGCTAGCTGTTCTACAGCAGATTATCGAGCACCAACTCTGTGAGATGACGGGCACGGTCGGGCCTCCAACCACATACCTACCTGCATACCGACCTTACTGCAAATCTGCATACCACTGCGCTGCCTGCAGGCATGAACACAAGCGCGCATACGTTCCTACAGCCTGGGTTGTGTTCCCACTCACTTTTCCGATGATTCGATCCTGTCATATCGGCCACCCCCACACTTTTTTTGCATCAGGACTTGTGCAATCGCCTGAATGCTTGAGCAACACGGAGGCTCAGCTCTCATGACTGATCTCCTATGCCCCTGCTCAAAAAACCACCCCCACACCTGAAAAGCCGAACCTTCGGTCGACCGAAAGCCTGCCCCCTCACTCCACACCCAATGAACATAACACGAACATGCTGCTCTCCTGACCTTGCCGACTTTCTAAGGCAGAACGACACTCAAGCTCCCCGACCTGTGGTTTCGTGATTCATTTGCAACTGGGCTGCTATATACGATGATCGGCTTTGTGCGGTGTTTCCTCGCCAGACTTGCATGACATCGGGGGGGTCATCTGGTGCATGGACCCACTGGGGGAGCATGAATCCACCGGTGAGCTGAAAGAAGAGATCTAATTTGGTCCCGGTGTCAGAAGTTTATGTATCAATTGGTCATCGGCGGCCATGAACACATTCACGAGGCCATAGTCCTGATTGCAACACACAATGTGGTTGTCCACAAAGCTTCGCTGGCCGTGTGCCGAGGCTCGATAATTTCTGGAAGCGGTGTGCAGAAAGCATCTGCAACGTGTCCGGCAGCAAAATCACGGCGATCACGAACGTCTATGAAAATCACACCTTCCTCCTCCTGGTGCAGCCGTTTAGCTGTCTCCAACCCGATCCATTTTACCTCCTCAACATCCTCGGCACATGCCCACAGCATGCAAACATTCTGCGTTGCAGTTCCATACACAGTTGCTACAAAGGCTCGCCCCCGAGTCCATCAGAGATCCACATGGCACCGTAATCATCAAACTGCTGACCTTCAAATTCTGCGACCTGCTTCTCTATCTCTGGGACGGTTGCTTCCCACCACCATTGGAAAAGCTCGTCTTCTTCTTCCTCGTCAAACAGCACCTTCAGCGCAAGCAAGGGCTGGCGACTGAGCACTGTCACTGATTGTCGCTGTGTCATTTGAAGCTGTCTGTCGAGCCACCCTCTCCTCCATGTCAGGGGTGAGCTTGCCAAGAATCCTGATCACACTGTGGTCGCAGTGAAAAGCTGTGTGAACATGCGGGCCTTGCCAGGCCAGAGCTAGCGAGGCCGTATCAAGTTCCAATTTAAGGGCAGGTCCAAAGCAAGCGCCGTTGCTGTCTCGTGTCCATCAGTGTTTCGAAAGCTCCGTAAACCTTTCCTTGCAGGTTGTCTGACTCAGCACGTCAATTACTTGATGTCTGAAATGTGCGGATATCTTAACTCATTACGGACAGAGCTGCGAAATGCATCTGCCGATTGCGGATGCTTGTTCCTGAGCAGAGCTTGCCGCAGCACCCGATGCAACAGACACGAGAATGAAAGGGTTGCAGGACTTTCGGCCAAGCAACTTGTCTGGATGCACTGAGAGCGATATCTTTCTGTAGGCTTTCTTGAGAACACTCATGTCCGTAATAAGTTGTGGAGGAAGATCCAGTACTTCGAAATCGTTTCGCGATTCCAATACTCCTCAGACGAGATCCACTACTACCGTGACCACGCCCGCTGGGCACACACAAACAATGACAGACCCTTCAGCCTAGCCGCTCTCTATCGCCTTGTCATACCAGTATTGAGGATCCAGTCTAACTTCGTAAAGCTTGCGCTTTGCCTCACCAGCACCGAGAAGCACGATCTCGTCGCCATTGCCCACCTGATCCCGCTCGATCCTGGCTAAGTAAATCTGAGCCGGACCGCCGGACTCCAGAGCTCGAGTTCGGTTTTTGGCTCAATCTCACGCGCATGGAGCCATGCCTGCTTGCTAAGAGCCTGGAGCTCAGTTCCGCTAGCGTTGCTCTTCAAGGGCTGTCGGGGTGAAAGATGCTTTCGTTGACACTGGCCCCGACCTTTCAGCAGCAATGCCTGGACACTTCCTACCCGGTCCTACCCCAGTCCTTCGTCCATCCACCTCCCCTTGCCGACCCCTCACTTGCTTGCGGCGCGTTTGGGAAGTGTGGCGCATGTCCCCCCTCCCTGCACGCTGCGCTGCGCCTCTGTCCGTGTCTGGTGAAAGGTGACACTGCGAACCTCGCCCTTGAGCTGCCCCTGTGACCCCAATGCACTCAGCTAACCCTTCTAAGGAACTAGGAGTCCCTCCTCGAGCCCTCACTCTCTGTCTTTCTACTGGCTTGGATCCCGAGCTACGAAAGCTCGCTCAGCTCTGCCCTCCTTCATCAGCCTTTCCTGCCACAGCTGAATGCCAAGCGACTGATCCGGATGGAGCTCAATGTTGTCCTATGCTTGCTCTGTGCTTGTGGGCTTCCGCCAGGTGCTTGTCAACTGCACACGGCTTTAGAGAGACCATAACGGCTAAATAGTACTGATGGAGCTCATGAAGACAATCGCTTCTGCCACTGCCTGCAATGTGTGGTGCACTTCAAAGGCTACGTGATTGAGGTCCTCCTTCAGCAAAAGGAGGGTGGCACCCTCTGCCTGTAGGCCTACACTCTTGTCGCTAAGGATCACCACTTTCCTGAGATTGGATGGCATTGGAAGTGCTGGAGGAGACGTATCTTCCAGCCAAGCTGCACAGAGTACCGCCCAGTTGCAGGATCGAATCCCATGATTGCTCCGTTCTTGCCGTTGTACTTCTGGTAGTCCTCCCTTTTCAAGGATAGGATTCGCACCTTCTTTCCTCACTGCAGGACCAAAGAAGCACGGACAGTGAGGCAACTCGGTACACTTGACATTCTGGCATGCCGCATGCCAGGAGTCCGGTGGCAATCTTTTGCTGGAAGCCTCCCTGCGGCGCTGCTTTGGAGGCTCTTTCCGCTGAGGCATCCTCTGTGCTGTTGCCGTTCTTGTCGGCGGTCTGTTTGCGCAGGAGCTCCTGGATCTCTGCTACCGGCTAAAAATCGCCATGGAATCCGTCCAACGGTGACCCCCCACCTTCAGGCCAAGACGGACCGTGACCTCGAGGGGCGAGGGGCGGGCGAGAATGACAAGGAAAAAGACGGACCCTGACTCTCGCCGAGGCGTTCACCCAGCCGCTTTCTGGGCCGAGGCCCTGGAGCCTTCGGTAGCGGAGCCGCTCACCCACTCGCTCCAGCTCCTCTCAGCACGGCCCTAGGTGCGTGTTCTCATCCTGTACGAAAACTTCGCTGACAGCACAGAAAGAAGGCACGACGGTGAACTGAACTCAATACTGTTTCTAGGTTGTGAGACTAAACTCAGGTCGCATGATTTTTCGTTGTTCCCGCAAATGTTGGGTGCAGGCGCAAAAGGACACCGGTGAACAGTCAGCTGTGCCGATACCCGAGTTTTGCCATGCCTTAGACCTCAACCGTCAATGGTACTACTGAATTGTACTCAATGACATCAATGTTTCAACGGTCACCCTTCCACTACTACACGCTCCGTTACAGTTACGCTCTCGCAACTCGGGCAAGCCAGACGAGGTCTCGGGGTTCAGATGAGAAGTCGGGTTTGCGTTTGTAACAGCCGCACCTCACACATCCTAGGACTTGCAGTTCAGCCAAGGCCTGGTTCACGTCATGAAACATGCACGGCACAGACGTGGGGATTTGTTGGAGAAGTGGTGAAACTTGGCTCATTCCCTGGTGGCTATCATGGGGCTTGCGGGCCGTCCTCCACAACAGCACCGGTGCAGAGCCGCTCACCGCACGGCTGCGAGCTGAGCTCGCTTCCCTGGCGAACAAGAATGCCACCTCAGATTCTGGCGCAGGAATCCCAAAATGCCGACATAGAGTCAAAATGAGTCAAAGGTGGGTGCGTGCGAGCAACCAACGTCGCCACCGCCCACAACTTCCCAGACAGCCGCCGGAGCCATGGCGAAGCTTCATGGACAGCAAAAGACTTTTGAAGATCAGCTTCGAGTAGCTGCGGTCGACTCGCTACACTGTTCTGTTCGACTGAGGAGTCTGCTTAGTGCTCGGGCTGCGGTGAATGGGCCAAGCTCCATTGCACTTTGCCGACTTGGTCCAACGTAGACGTTGATCTTTCATGCAAAAAGGCACGGAGCAAACCTCATGCGAGTAGCTTGCCGCAATTCCGGTCAAGTCGTGGCATTGCGCAAGCTGCACAACGTCCGAAGATCTGCTGCTGACTCTGCAATCTCCACCGTGCTTCAGTATGTCTGTAGGCACGCATCAAGATCAATCAGAGCTCACACCTTGCAGGGTGACTTCTTAACTAGTAGCTAGTCGACATGTTCTTGACTTCTTGCAACGGAATAGAGCTTCAGCTAGAGTGTCTTCAGAGCTGCCACTAACAATCAATGGACTAGGTGGCCGTCTAAGCAGTTCGCACAAGGCCTGACTCGTCACTGCTTTCCGACTCTCTGTCAGCATCTCGTCCATCGAGATCAGCAGTTGCTGGGCCATGTGGGGCACCTCGCAGCACTGACAGCATCAGTTGCAACAAGCGATCGCACTGCGCGGTTTATCCTCAACCCAGGACTAGAATAGCGAAGCAAACATGTCCTCGCCTTCCAAGGCCATGGAAGCGTGTGTGTCTGAGCACATCTGCTCACTCAGCCGCAGTAGAGTGGAAGGGGCGAGCAAGTACTTCTCGGCCTAAGATTGACTCGGGCCAAAAAGTCGCCCTCATCAACAAGAGAAGTGACTTTAGAAGAGTGGCAGCTATGGCTTGAGCTGAGCTGCGCTATGTGATGTGACTTCAGAGGACAAGTCCAGCACTGCAGTGCCTGGAAGTGGCCCAGAAGGCCCTGAGAGGCCGAGGGCGTCATTGGCCATCGCCGACATGGCCGGCTCCACAGAGAACCAGGCGTGAGCCGTCTCACCCAGGCGGAAATAGTTCCGCAGGATGCAGTCCTGCACTCAGATCTCGGATTGAGCTGAGGTTGGGCGCCCGGCCAAAGCAACAGCAGGGTGCTCCGGCATACTCAAGTTACTTGCTAGGGTGGCATGCGCCGAATGAGCCTCTACTTTTACTAGTGGCCGGAGTGACGCGTGTCAGCTTCCTTGCACTGAACAACAAAAGTCACTGCGAGTCCCAAGGACATCCTGTGGCCAGTGATGCGATTGAGACACGGTTGACAATGCGGGGTCCTGCTGAGAAAACAGAATGTCCAACTGCTGGACTGAGAGCCTAAGCGGTGAAAAGCACAATCCGACAACACGCTTGAACAAGTTTCTCACGGTTTCCCAAGTTTCTTCCTCGCAGAATCTATCCGGAAATCGCACGAACAAGGAGAGTCGGGAGCTGGGGCTCGGGGCCCTGCCACAAGCTGCAAACATCTATCTAGGGACGATCTGTCACTGCAATGGTAGCCGTAGCCAATGCCAATTGGCACGACGTTCTGAATCTAGGCTGCAGTCGAGATGCTTTTGCCGGTCGAACTCTTGACCGGGCTGCAAAGAATCCCAAGCCACGGCAGCACCGAGCAAAGCCACATACCTCAAACATAAGTCTGAAGTGCTTTTGGAGCCGCTCCACATGGCCGAGAAAAATGCGTGCGGACTAACACGACACATGGACGGAAGCAACTACGCAAAGATATGCTGCCACTGCATGTGCGGCAGACGTCTAGTGACGGTAGAGCCTCATTTTTTTGGCTCCCGCTTGGCTGATCCGAAGACCGCATTGCAGGTTCCAGACCCGAGTCGAGCCTCATCTAATCACATGTTCTAGCATTTGTTGAAACGATGCATTCGAAAGGTTTGTCCATCCGCAGAACTTGCGACCCGAGCAGAAGCTCGGACATGGCGAGAGTATCTAACTGAGTATATGAGGACAGTCTAGCAGGACGAAGCTCCGCTTCATGTCGGGATCAAGTGGTCTTCGATCCATCCTCGAGCTCGCATGTTTGGCATGAGGGAGGGACCAGCCGAAAGACTGGAAGGGTGCTTTTTGGACTGAACACAGGTCCCATGTGAAGGCACACAGCCAGAACGAGACGCATGCAGCCGTTGTGTCTCGACTTAGCCGGCCAGATCTCCCGGCCAGCACGCCAAGTCCGTTAAGGCGGTTGAAGCCGAGCATGGCCGATGCAAATGACTCCCAGCTCAAGAGAGGGCGAGTCCTGCTCCAAGTCTCCGAGAGCCGTCATTGTTGTCGTAGCTGCGGGATCACAAGGTTTCAATCTGCACTTTGTTGTAGCTGTTGACGCACACGTGTTAGCCACGAGGGTCCGAAACAGGTATTACGAAGCAAGACTTGGCATGCCTGCCCCGAAAGTTCTCGCAACCTCAAATTTGGTGCTATGGCAGCAAACTTGCCACTCGGCTACTGGACGTTGACCGCCTTTGCCAGGCTGTCTCGAAGTGCAGTTAGTGCCACTCGGCAGCCAAGGCTATGAGCCAGGATGACCACGGAAGAACAGTTCTCACAAAGCAGCTGCAGCAGCGACCCAAGCAGATGAGCTGCTTCTGTCGCTTTTGCACCTTGGATCCGTAGCAGTCTTGAGTCTTGTGCCTCTGAAGACGCTACCATGTTTGCCAATGTTGCAAAACGACCGGGCCCCCGGCGGGCCTTGCTGTAGGATTGTTTTCCCTTGTGCGAAGGCCAGACAAATGCCAGCACCGAGTGGTTGCGAAGGATGGCACACTGATGAAGTACCCGGCAAGTTTTCACAACACGAAGGGTGCCATATCGGAACCCGTGCCTAAGCCCGCAGCGATCGCTACAGAGTACTGCTCAGAGTCACTATCACAAGCAGTATCTAGCAGTCACCAGCTGGAATTGCAGCATGGAGAATTGCATGCGTGGCGCACGAATACCACAACTTCGCGATGCTGCAGAGGTTCTGGCAGACTTGACGGTGCCAGTCTAGCCTGTCCTGCCTCGTCCGAATACGGCGGCATCCTCACACCCGAACGGGCGTGTCAGAGATCACTTGCAACTGTGTAGTGTAGTGCGCAGTGCCGGTGTGTGCAGACTTCTTGGACCAACTTCAGCTTGGACTCAGCCAGCAACGCTCCACGAACGGCAAGAACACATCTCTTGTGGCAGGAAAGTTGACGACAGTGGTGGGCCCGTGGAGCTTCCAATGCTCCTGTTCTTGCCGGTCATCGCTGGAGCCCGCGAGACACATTTAGGTTGTTGCAGCCAGGCATCTGCCGCCGCAGCTTGGAGAACATCAGGCGACACATGCATAAAGAGGTCGTGGTTGCCTCCTTGGCCAACGAAATCGAGCCAGCCGCACTCGTCTCTCGCCACCAGAAGTTCTAAGACCTGACTACCCGCGAGCAGGCCTGGGAAGTATCAACTTTTGGCCGTGCTGCGAAGGAAACGTTTGCAGGTCCTTCCCTTGTCACAAAACGGACGGCAGTCTGGCATGTAGAGGACGAACCTCGGTTGCACGGCGGTCGGAGGTTGTAAAGTGGTTGAGCGCAAGTAACTCAGGCTACGAGTCGAGCGAGACAGGATGCCTCTCGGAGAAGCGAGACATGGAGTCCAGTCTGCGACAGCTGGCGATCCACAGCGACTCGCTGGATACTGGAGCGGGCAAAGCTTGTACCTGGCAGACTGGACAAGACCTCCAACAAGGCTTCCACAAAGAAAAGGCCTCGGGCCTCGTCTGCAAGCTCCGCCGCTGTTGGTGCTTGTTGCCCCATTGGGAGCTCCTTGACCGAAGCTGACTCGGCACTTGGCGAGCATTCGCAGCTTCTGCATGGCGTCGGAAACGCATGAGGCAGAACGTGCAGGGGCCCCCTATGATTATCGTGGTATGTGCAAGAATTTCTCAGAAGCCTCTGTCGCGATGACTTCCACCCCCGTCTCACTGTCAAATTTTCCGGGTGCTTTTGCCGTTGCCTTCTCATGATGTGAAATCCAAACTTCTTACCTAAGCTCCAAACTCATAACCAAGAATGTGGAAACTGCAAAAATCATCCCTACACCCATACAGGACAATCCAAACCTGAAGCAAGCCTTGAGCCAACTCGTCTGCTGCATCGATCATTCATCGTGCAACGCTGCGTGCTGATGCTTTCGGACTCAGTCATCCGGCCAGCATCGCGAAGAAGTGTGAGCTAAAGGCGTGGACTCGCCTTGCTGCATCCGGACGGCTTGACTACGGCCCTAAGCTTCTGCAACAGTGCCCCGGTCAAGGACACGTGCAATCGCCAAGGTCTCAACCAGCCCCCAAGAGCTTGAACCTAGCGGGTCACAGTTAAGCATGCTGAGGCTAAGCGATGCTCAAACTCACACCAGGCCATCGGCAAGCCGGTTCACGAAAAAATCCAGGAGAGAGTCGTTGATGTGCTGGCCATCTTCCAGTCTTACCTGCTCAGCTCAGCTCAGATGCGGGGAGAGACTCGGTGCACTGCTCCGATTGCTCCCCGCCCAGTCTGACATGGAGAGACTCGGCACCGGCCCTGAGCCACGAACAGCAATATACAGCAATACACAAGCATAGCTCATGACTCATGAGAGAAATCAGACGCAGGTCCTTGCAAGGCACTTAGGGCTCTGCCGTCCTGCTCGGATCTGCGCATAGGCCGGGCCTTTCACCATGCAAACCACACAGATCCTCCGACTCGTGTCATTGCCACTGGGTGCTGGTCCAGAGCAGACCAACTGGACAGAATGCTCCGACCTCAAGTTCGAGAACCCTTCGTGACTGACGAGTTGGAACATCATGCAGACCAAGAACCAGGGAAGCCGAACAATCACTTGTCACGCCCCAGCGCCAGACCCTTCTCCAACTCTTCCCACAGGACTTGCAGTGCCTGCAACGAGGCTGCGGAGCCGCGGCATACGAGGGAAGCCACACCCACAACGGCAACCTCGCCTTACTCTGATGCTCCGCTTCGGCTTCTGCTGCTTGGAAAACCTCCGCGGCGCCACGGTCCTGTCCGCTCTCCTGGTCACAGCTCCGCTAGCCGCTAGCATCCGCTACTTGTATCACCGGCTAGCATTGCCGGCTTGCGCTCAGCCCAGCCCACCTGACCAATCTCCTTCCGAAGGCTGACGACGGCTGCACATGCAGCTTGGCTACAAGCTGTACGAACTCGACACCGTGCCTGGTCTGCTCGCACGACAGAGTTGGAACAATGCTGTCAAACGACATGCTACACTCCACGACCGCCTCCAATAATGCCAAACGCTTTGCCTGTTCCATGAGCACCTGAACCATGCTGACTGGTTTCCCTACTCATCACAGACTTGGGCCGACTTTGCACAGTTGCCAAAGATTCCTTCCTAGGCCTCCTCAGCGGCGATGCCACAGGCCGCAACAGCTGCAACGCCAGCAGCACATGTTATCTGCCTTGGCAGATCGTCGGCAGTCGTCCCAGGTGGGCAGAGAACCAAAGCGGAAGGCACGGGGTTTGATTGCTGTGAAAATCTCCGGTCGTGTCGCACAGTGGAAGGATCAAAAAGTTCCACTGATGTATAAAGAAAACAATGCACGCAAAGATGGTCAAACCTGCAAAGATGCGATACAGTATCATCGTGTGATCTTATGCACGATGAGAGATCCGAGAAGCCCTGGATCTTTTCAGTAGTGCTTGAAAGGCTCCGTACAAAGAGGCTCGACCCCTATCGTGACCGTTCTGACTCATTGCGATCACTTTGTCGATGTGGCCTTGTGCTACGATCACGCCAGACTGAGACTAACATGGCTGATTGCGCTCCGCTTTCAAGGATGAGGGAAAAGAGTGAGGCTCACACGGGCCCCGGGCGGAGATGCACATGGTCTAGTGCCACGATGTCCCGCCCAGATTGACACAACAAGACTGCTCTCGGCTGTGTGTGTGTGTGAAATACCTTAACCTCTACGACGAACTTGTACTGAACACTTCCAAAATCAAAAGCCCCTCACCTTGGCTTCTCATGAGGTTCCGACGAGGCAGTCGACAACTGCTCCGCCGCCTTCTGTTTGCCGGCAGTCTCTTCCGACAAGGCCTCAAGTCTGTGAAAAAGCAGCGCAGCCACACGCAAAATTAGGTGGCCAGTGCTGAGATTCAGACCAGAGTGCAGCATGATAGAATGTCTTGGGCCAGTTCTTTCCCAAGGACTGTGCTGCCACTGTCACGGGCATAGTTCATAAGGTTTATGATGCTACCGATCTGCTGCTTTGAGGGCACATGCTCAAGTGTTGCAGCAGCACTTCGGCTCGTGTTTCCCAGATCAGACGTGGTCACGGTGTCCAGAATGGCACGCCCTAGGAAAGAAGCCTTCACGAAGTCAAAGGCAGGGTTGGCAGAGCTGTCCATTCCGTCGTCCAGGAGCAGAGCAACACCCAGATCAAGAAAAGCACTGGCCGCGGTCAGCTTCTTGGCCACGGCATCGGGGTCACCGGGAACAAACGACTTGGCAAGCCAGCCCAATAATCGCGAGATCTCATCGCTGCTTGCATTGATCACGCCCAGCTTGAGCAGCTGTTGAGCGAATGCCAGCCACATTTCTTCTACAGTGCTTCGCCGGGTGCTCGACTCCGGCGCGCTAAGCTCGGAGTCTGCGACCTTAGATCAAGCTACCCTGCAGCCACCTCTTCAGACCGTTCGGACCGAAGCAAAGTGCCAGACCCCATTGCGCAACAACGACTGGGCGGAAGGATCTGAGTGCTCGATGTTCTCCTCGCATTCCTGACTTGCCCATTCTTTGCAAAATTGCACTGCACCTGCCAACCCTCGCTGCTTTCACGGTATGCAACATGTCATTTTGCCATCTGCAAACACTCCCCGTGATCGCCAACTGCATTTCTAGCCTGTTCCCGTCCTTGCGGCTTTTCGACGGCTTCTGATTCGATGCACGCGGTTCGGCTTCGACTTCGTGGGCCTCTTCAGACTCAAAGCCTTGCATGTTGGACCTGCGGGCAAGAGAGATTCCTACGTGTGGCGTTACGGCATCCCTGGCTGGAGGGACAGGGCTACGACAGTACCCATGCCGACACCAGGCAAAAAGGTAGATGGAAGAAGGACACATGCACAGATGGCAGGGGCCCCACTAGTGAAGCCTTTGCTTGGGGAATCTGTCGACGAGAACTTTGCAAACTCCGCTGCCATCGCTTGAACCCAATCTCTGACTCCTGGTCCTGCTGTCAGATACCGGGGGTGCGGCGACAGAGGCGCGGCAAGCAACGATGTCATAACTTCACCACCCCCATGTCCGCCCAAACCCTCCTTCGCATGGCCTGCTATGGCCTGGCCTGCGTCAATACCGACACGCCGCCAACAAACGTCAAAAGTAGAGCAGCAGCGAGGTAACACCGCCATGCTTGAATCCATTCATTCATTCATCCATCTATCCATCCATCCAACGATCCATCCATCTATCCATCCATCCAACGATCAATCCGTCTATCCATCCATCCATCCATCCATCCAATCGATCCCTAAACGCTAAACCCTAAACCGATCCATCCATCCAGCCAGCCAGCCATCATAAGCCCTTAAGATAAACCCTTTCATGATTTCCTCTACAAACGACTCTACAAATCGTTCTGTGAAGTGCTTCTACGCAAGCCCTTCTACAAAGCTCGTGCTCACACGCCACTTCGAAGCGAAGGTTTTTGTGATCGCCACTCTCTCTATTTTGGACGGCCAACTCACAAAGGTAGTCTCTGGCAAGTCTCATCGGGATCTTGACAAACTAAAAAACGATGCCATAAATGGTGTCGAGAGATATGACACCCCTCGAGCGCCATGAAGCTCCATGACAAGCAGGAGCGGCGCGTGCAAAAGAGATAAAAGCTGCATATCACACCCTTCTTGACAAAAGCTCCATGAAGCAGGAGCGGCGCATGAACGCCAAAAGCTTCAAGCGGCATCTCCATGTGGGCAGGAGAACGAACAGATGGGATACCCTCCATATGGCAGGGGCGCGAAAGAGTTTGGAAGCAAATTCTTTCTTGTTGCAGGGTGGCGAGGGTGGGAAAGATCAAACCCAAACCTTAAAAGGAAACGGCCGCCCGAGGACGAGTGCTCACACAACACTTCGAAGCGAAGATTTTTGTGATCGCCACTCTCTCTCTCTTGGACGGCCAACTCACGAAGGTAGTCTCTGGCGAGTCCCATCGGGATCTTGACAACCCAAAGAACGATGCCATAAATGGCGTCGATGAGATATGACACCCCTCGAGCGCCATGAAGCTCCATGACAAGCAGGAGCGGCGCGTGCAAAAGAGATAAAAGCTGCATATCACACCCTTCTTGACAAAAGCTCCCCTTGCGAAGCTCGGAGGATAAGGCCATGCTTAGTGATGTTGAGAACTTCATGAGTACGCAGAAAACAATGGAAACCCAGCGTCATTATGATGGCGAAAGCCAAATTCCCATCTTCCAGGGCCTTACCTGCGACAGCGAGAACAACTAATGCCGGCAGGGCGGTGCACGGGAGGGGAGTTCAACTTTACGCCAGATGCGAAAAAACCGCATGGACTGAGGCAGATGATGGCAAGTTTGAGGTACATAGTGATGTACTCCAGAGAGAGAGTCCCCGATAAGGCCAAGACCTGCACCAAGTTCCCACTGATCATCGATGTATGAAGCAAGGAGAACGTCCAAATGTGTGGAAGATGAAGCTGCATCCAAAAGACGTGTGACTTTTTGCAATGCGGACCAAGAGCGTTTTCGTGTCTTTGAAGAAATAGCGATATCCAGTAACCTGAGTCCTCGTCTGGCCGGCTGCTGCACGGTTCGACGGTCAATGACGACTGGCGGCATCTGTCGGATTGACCATGCTGTCCACATGGCCCACCAAAAGGAATAAACGTGCAGCCAGCAGAGCAGCGGCTAGCCGACGGAGGACTCGGTTCAAGGCTCGACTGGACGAGCGCCCTATTGGAAATCACAGACATAGACATGTAGCTATCAGTCAAATGCAACAAACGGCGCCGGCAAGTAGAAGGGCGGCGCAACATCCATTCTACACTGAGGACAATCATACGGAGCTCGAGTTTATTGCTGCGAGCTTCTGGTTTCCAAGTATGTCGAAACACAACCTGCCACACCCACGAGTTTGCGTCAATGCTCTGACGCGGATAAGCTTTTGGGTTCACCAACTGACCTGTTGAAATGCGTACATCACATCCGGTGTGATTGCAACGTGCGGCAAAAAGCGAGGCCAGCGAAACACTGGAAGGCAAAGGTGAAGCGCCAAACGATGGAGATTGGCTCAATGGGGCGGGGCGTGCCGGGTGTAGAGGCAATCCCGGGGCCAAGCCGAGACGAGCAACATAGTGCTGGTAAGGCTTTGGTTTGACATAGTCATTTGTACCCCACACAGCAAAAATCAATGCAGACGCCATCGCAAAATTGTCCCCAAGTAGCGAAAGTCGTTCAGCCTCGTATGCATCCCAATTTTGTTGGGTGCGACCTTGCACTTCCCGCAAAGGGCCACTCAGAAAGATCAAACCCAAACCTTCAAAGGAAACGGCCGCCCGAGGACGAGTGCTCACACAACACTTCGAAGCGAAGATATTTAAATTTACAATGGGTCGGTGGACAAGCAGCGAGAGGGCCTTTTCAATTCGGGACACCGAATTGTCACGGCACCACACACGCATCTCCAGTTCACACGGTCGAAGAGGCTGGTGCCACACACGCAGCACCATTTTACCATGCCCGGCGACACCAGCTGCCCAGTGCTTGCAAAACGTCCCGTTAATAGTTGTCGCCCATAACCAGGGCAGGACTGCGGTCGAAACTGGTTAGCAAAGTCCAACAGCAGAGGCAGGCTAAAGGTTGATGCCCTGTCCGTTAGGGACGATGCCCGATTCTCACCGCATCTGATGGAGCATGATGCAGCGAAGCACTCATAGGAGACCTTGAGGGGATTACTTCCCGGTAGTCTCAGGTATCTTCCACGAACCCAGGCAAATCGCTGGAACCCCTCAGTGCACAACGTCGATCCCCGACTTCAATTAAAGATAAGGAACAACCTGACCAAAACCCCAGGGCCAACCAACCTGTTGAGTAACCTTGATGACATGCCTTTCAACGGGCTTGGTTTTTGTTGCTTATTTTTTGCCGTTTCTTTTATCATTGCTTTTCTGTTTCCTTGTTTGGGGACATCCTAGCTTCCCTCCTCTGTCGAGGGGGTACTGAGCCCTGCCACCGCCATGCATGCGCACTCATTACCACATGGCCTTTCCTCGCAACCGTTGTCCCCGCCTGGGTTCCGCTTCGATTTGGGCAGTCCAGCCTCGCATCAACACACGCCGATTTCCGCATGCTTCGCCTTGCTACCGTTGTCTTCGAGCTCTGCTTTCATGAGGGCAACCCAGCTTCACTGTCGCTTCTTTGCCCGTTTGAATTTAAACTGCTGGCTTTCAAGCTTTCCAAATTCAGGAAGTACTCCTTGAAGTCACCCCCTCAAGCCGTAACATGCAAACCCTCAACTGAACCCAACTCTCTTGCCTCGAGGTTGCTTTAACGAATCCCTGAGTTTCGGCATAAACGCAAATCTTCAATTCCTGCTTGGTCGTGGGCTATATGAGGGCTCTTCCAAGGGTACTGTTTGGTAGGGCTTCGGCAGTATAGCAAGAGTAATCGCAATAGTAATAATACTTCTAATGGTAATAGTACTACAAAATAGTAAAAGCACTAGTAATCGTAATAATAATAATACTAATAACTGCAGTCGTAATAGTCATAACATTAGTACTAGTCATACTAACAGTAAGAGGCCTAGTAATAGCAATTGTAGTGCCTTTCCTTTCCCGCCTTCCTTGCTTGCTTGCTTGCTTCGTTGCTTCTTTGCTTTCTTCTTTGCTTCCTTGCTTCCTTGCTTGCTTGCTTGCTTGCTTGCCACGCGGCCGGAAAAAAAAACTGAAAAATAAACAGAAAAACACCGCCACCCCTTTCAACCGAACCCTGACGTCGACCACAACATCCCCAAAAAACTTGCCCGCGTGACAGCCTGCCTCCCACGGCACTCAAGCTCTTGCTTCTTCCACTCCTCCTTCCCAGTGACTTTCCTCTCCTTGCTTTCCGCACGAGCTTGTCTCGGAGTCTCGCTTTGTTGGCGGTCAGCAGGCGACTGTTGCTTCTTGGATTTGATGGCCATCTCCGAACTCGAAACGGCATCAAAAAGGGCCGGATCAGCCGATGTATCTTGACTTTCCGTAAGCCGAAGCCTCCTCCGCTTGCGGCCTGGGCAGTGTCCAGCGTGCCGGGAACGGGGCGGGAACCGGAAGAATCGGAAGACCATGACGGACCGGCCTGCACCTGCCTTCACGTCGTCCCTTGCAGACCGCTCGGGTCCCTGACAACGTTGCGAGAAACCACGGCAGGAGCCTGGCTGAAGCCGAAGCCTCGAAGTCTTCGTCGGCTTTGGAGGCTGTAGGCTTGGGCTCCGTTCGCCTTCGAGCCTTACCTAGGTCGGCATTGTCTGAGCAATCATCGGTTATCGCAGTGCACAGGCAAGAACATCAAGTCAAGGGAGCGCAGCAGCCAGCTTATCTTGCTATCTCGCAGCAGCAATCAGATAATCCAGTCGAGCGTCGTGCTTCACTGTCCGTCTTCGCCGCCCTCATCGACTCCGTCAGGTCACGCATCATGTCCTGCAGATCCATACCTTGTACCGACATCAGATGTGACAGGACAAGTGACACGCTCCGCACTGCTGAGGCCCTGGACTTTCTCAGCCGCGGATGCCAAACTTGCTACAAGTACAAACAACTACTGCCAGCTACTTGCACAACCTAGTCAAAACCTTGAGGCACGAAGCATGGTCGATCACGCAAAGATGTCGCCGGGCCGCAAGCGCAAGCTGCGCTTTACATGGACTGCTGTACAGCTCCAGTTGCAACTGCAGTGAATCTCTCTTTTCCTGGCGATGGCACCTTCCGATGCTGGAGTCAAACCAGGACGAGGGTCAGTTGTCTGCGCTGTCCGGGCTCGCAAGCATGATGAACGAGGTTGCACATGTTTAGCCTTCGTCTGGGAGCTCGACGGTGTAGAAGCGCAAGCGACATCGAAAGATACCGTCTCAGCCTGCGGCTATTGCCGGTAGCACCCGTGCCAGACAGTACTGACAGTACGGTAAGTATACAAAAACCACGCACTTCTTGGGCGACAACATCTCAAAACCATGCCGAGGGTCCGTAAGTTGCCGCTTTCGCAGAAGCAAGATCACGGTACACCTGAGCTTCGTCTGTCACAAGTCCAAGCGAAGATGCACGCACAGATTCGTGGTGCAGGCAGGTAGCACATAGTTTCCCTGCAGCTACGGACCAGAACTCCGTAGCCACCTGGGAAAGAAAATACTGGTCGTGGCTTACCTTAGTTGCAAGCAAAGAATGCGTTGGCCTCATCTGCGGATCCGTGGCCAAGCTCCCACAAAATGACCGGCAAGTTGGAAAACGGTTAACTACCCGAAGACTCGTACACGATGCCTTCCTTCACCATCCCAGCCCTTGTTTCAATCTTTTCTGAATTTCTGGCTGGGAACCATCACCACAGCGCCGTGGAAGTCTTTGATGGCATCGACCAGAGCATCGATTGTCTCCATGTCCAGATGGTTCGTGGGCTCGTCCAAGTAGATCAGGTGGGGCCTCGGTGAAAGTCCCGAAGCAATCCGAAGCCACGTCAGGAGTCAGGAGTTTCTCAAAACGCTCCTTGCGGCCGCAAGGCTGGCGATAGGTGACAATAGCCAGAGCGACTCGGCTCTTCTGCCCACCAGACAAGGTCTTGATTCGTCTGAGGGCCATGTCACCTTGGCATCATGCGCTGCATGTCCTGTGAGTACGCCGCCCGCAACGATCTGGGCACCTGGCCGCTGATCCCAAAGCGCCCCAAAACGCTTCGGGCCTGCGTGGAAGCCAAGATGTTGCTGCTTCAATCACGATCCATATAAATTCCGGCACTGTGCCACATTTGATGCTGACTTCGCCTCTTGATCGGTGATGCCTGGAAAACTGGCTTGCACGCAATCTACACACGTCGCATCGAGATCGAGCGAATCCACGTGATGCTGCGCAAAGGTACCTGCAAGAATACCACTTGATCGCCCGAAACTCAAGCAGGAGCTGTCGAGAAAACGGCGCACCTATCCTGGCGTTGCGATTGATATCGATCTGTCCAGCTGTTGGTATAAGCTTCTTTTGCATGACTTTGAGCAAAGTGGACTTGCCAGCCTCGGCTGTTGTGCTATGCAAAACCTAAGAAAGGGAAGTTCGAATCCCCTCGGACTGAATCATTTTCTGGTTCCTGCCCCTCTTGTTGTTCCAAGAGTCACCGTTGGCGCCCAGTATGCCAATCCGTCCAGAAATGTCCAGGTTGGCAGTGGCATTCTCAAAAAGTGGTGCTTTGCCAGCATAGGCGAAGCTCATGTTGTCGAACTGGATTAATTGAGTCTTTGGCAGCTGGCCAGGTTCCGGGAATCGGATGGAAAGAGATGCGGCGTCGTTGAAGGTGACGGCAGGGTCTTCGATCTTCTCCATCTTATCTAGCATTTTTTGCTTGCTGGCCTGGGACCACAGTCTCGAGACAACATGTGGGTGTAGGTGCTCCACAAGCATGACAGCTAGGATATGCTAGGATAGTTGCTAGGATGGCACATGCAAAGCAGTTGCCGGCCTTTTGTGCCACAATCTTGGGTCGCTCATCATGCTTGTTGATGAACTCCAATATGTGAGATATCTCCTTCTGCTGGGCATCATAAGCTCGCTGTTGAGCTAGGCGAGTTTCCTTCACCGTCTGCACGTATGCATCGTAGTCGCCCTGCATGTTTGCAAGATCTAGACTTACCACGCGTCAACTGTATTGAAATGCGCGATTCCCAAGACAGCCGTACCTTGTAATACGCCAGCTTCTTGCCGTTCAGCAGAACGATGTCCGAACACACAGCATTCAGGAAGCCCCGATCATGCGAGACGATAAGACAGGTGTTCTTGCACGAGAGCAGGTAATCCTGAAGGTAGAGAACCTGCGCCAGCAGAAATGTAGACTCATGGCCTCTCAAAGATACAACAACCGATAGCTAAATCAAGAGGCAGCTGGAAAGTCCAGATGATTTGTCGGCTCATCCAGGAGTAGCAGCTCAGGTTGTGCAAAAAGTGCCGAAGCCAATGACACGCGCATTCGCCATCCACCAGATAAAGAAGATGTGGGCGTGTCCAGCAATTCATCCGTGAACTGAAGCCCTGACAGTAACATGACCATGTCCATGCATGCACACATGTCAATCCACAAGAAGAAGTAAGAACTTGCACCCGGCAATGCCAGCAAGTAGCCTCGCAAGATTTTGGCAGCACGTGGCTCCGCATCATCAGAACCAATCTCCTGGAGCCTGTCCGCAATCTGCTTGAGTCGTTCCGACTCTGGCGCATCGCGCGCATCTTTCTCCTGGAGAAGCTTCTGCTCTTGCAGCAAGAGCCTCCTCTCTACGTCACTGTGCAGAACCCAGTCGATGGGTTTCCGATCGTCTCCGACAACTTCCTGTTCTACCATCAGCACCTTCAGATTCTTGGGGAACTTGTCAAACTTGTAGTAAGCAATCTCCCGCAGCAGAGTGCTCTTCCCCGCGCCATTGCGTCCGATCAAACCATAACGACGTCCTTGATTGAGCGTGAGGTCTGTGCCGAGAAGAAGTTCAGAGCCATCCAGTGACCGCAGATCAATGCTGTTCAGTTTGATGTCAGCCTTCGGTGCACCCAGCTTCTGCCGTGCCTGCAAATACACTTGAAGCGCGTTCTCGGCTTCAGTCGGTCCAGAAGCAGCCTTTTCCTCCTTGACCCGGGCGGCTTCCATTTTTTGCTTGGCCTTCTCGGCTTTGGCGGCTGCGTTTTTGGCAGCGAGGCTTTTGAGGGCGCCATCCTTACCTGTGCAGGCGGACGAGTTGTCATGTGGGGTGATGACCAGCGCTAGATTCCGATAGATGATGCTGCATGCACAGTCTCTCGTACAAGTTTCTCTGATTTTATCGCTAAGCAGGCTTCCTAGGCTTTCTGTCTGCATCACCCCGCGGGCCAATCCCGAGAGGGCCCTGCACCCACCTACCCGTCGTATCGTCATTCTTGTGGTCTTGACCAAACTGACCACGGATCAACAACACTAGCCAATCGCGATGCCCTGCACATGTGCTGTGCCTATCATGCCAAGCTATGCAACATGTCCAAACTGCACCGCCGCAGTATGTCCCACAGGTCCCGTCTCAGCGGGAAGGAATATCGTCAAGGTCTGGGAGTGGCCATTGTCGAGGTTCCAAAACTACACTGCTTGTTTGAGATGCTGATGCTTCCTGCCACCCCCCCACAAAACACGAAGCTTGGACGATCCTGAGCTTTGCATACAAGCATCCCAAGATGATGAGCGTTCTGAAAAAAGGCCTGTACACCTCTAGTCCAGGAGCGTCCGGAGACAGGGCAACGGTTACATGTTGAACCTGTGGCTGCCTTCGATTTTCACGCAGCCATCTTCCACATGCCAGATTTCATCACACGTCTCTTGCAAGAACTCGGCATTGTGTGTAACGACAATGGTGCCGCCCTTGAAAAGCTTGATCGCTTTCGCAAGTGAGCTGACCGTCCTCGCGGCACCGTGTACCATCCAGGCAAAGCCGGCAAGAGCTGCGAGTTGCGAGAGCAAGCCCTTTCCATTCCTAGCGCATTCAAGTGCATTCGAGCAGCTGAAAGTCCAAATAGTTTGTTGGCTCATCAAACGCAATGACGTGTGGCTTCGTCCACATTGCAGCGGCCATCATTAGCTTACCTTCGCGGCCACAGCCACACGATCTTCTGACTCGAAGGCTTAATCACCACATCCCCTAGGCCAAATGCGGATCAGCGTCTCTTTTGTCCGGCAGAAAACCCTTCCATCATCCGGTGGCAGGTCATGTTCTCCGAAATCCCGAATGGCTCCTCACTTGGACACCAGAAGTGTTTCCGCAGTCCGTGCTGAGGTCACTGGCTCCTAGAGCCTACTCAATCAGTCCGCCGAAGCTCCAAATGCTTGACAATTTCCCTGGTGCTGAGCGGTCGCATCGCCGTCTCAGCACACGCTATCCTGTCGTCAAGAGCTGCACCTGTAACGATGTCCAGGAATGCATATCCGAAGCTAAGGCGGCAGTTAAGGCGGCATATGGATTCATGCAAGATACACATTTTCTCGACCCCCAGAAGTCGCAGTTTGGTGAGGGGCTCGTACGTGTTCCTTCAGTTGGCATGGCAAGCGCAGCAAGGGTCACAGTGCTCCGGCGAAGCTCCAAAGCTTCAGCTGCGGCTTGCAAAGCGAGCGGCTGCTTGGCGTCGTCCAAACCCTTCCACTTCACCTCATACAGGATCTGCCGGCCTCTCCTGCAGATAAGAGGGCGCTCCGAAACCACTTCACGCGTTTAAGATAAGCCGCTGTTTGCAAGAGGCTTTTGGAGGCAATTGGGCAGCAGATTATGCATGGCGTTGATCTTGGACAGCATGTTTCCCGAATCTTTCCAAGCGTCTTCTGTCTGGATAGCAGTGCCTCGACTTCCTTCCCACGCTTGCCATGCTTGACGGCCATGTCCTGCGACTCCCGTTCATTGCATGCAGATTGGAGCGATTGCCACGAGGCGTTCGGGTACCAGGGAGGGGCGATGTTTCACGACATTTCCAACACTGTAACACTGTGTTCGTCCACGCGGCCTTCCTGTACTGAGCCTCCTCATCACTTTGTGGCAATGTCAGCCTTCGCTGCGTCTCTTCATCATAGCCTTGCCTGACAGAGTGGATAACGAGCTGGTTTGGATGGTGATGAGTGTATCGCTCCACCAGCACCACCGAACGAAAGACAGGAGTCGCAGACTATCCCAATTGACCTAAGCGTAACTGGCCCTCTACAACTGCGTCTGCGGTCCTGAACTATCTGAACTTCAAAGACTCCCAATACAAAGCTGAATGCCCCCCCTACCCAAACAGCGTGCCATTGTCAGGCCATAGGCACAGGAAGAAACCTGCTCAACTGGTCCATTATATAGCTTTCCACAATGCCCGGCCTAAAACGTGTTTGAAAGTAGTGCAAAGGCGTACTCTTGAGGAACTCAGACAGGTGGAAGAAGTGGTGCTGGGCCTCAAATTGATCACAAAACAACGCCATCGCTCCGCAACACAATTCTGATTCCATCACGGTGGATGGGGCGTCTTTCTGCCAAGCTGCTATATAAGCCAGCCGGAGATTTCTGTGTCTCCAAACGGCACTTACCTGCACAGTCACAAAACCGGAGACATCGACGAGGAGGGAGAGGCAGACGAGAGGGAGGGAGGGCGAAGGACGGGATGTAGTCAAATGTCCTCTCCCGTCTCATCCTCGGGTGGAAGGAGCTCACCAGCAAGAAGGTTCAAAAGCCTCAGATAAACCAAAGAGTCATGCCCAACGTGCTGAGCCGCTATCTGGTGTTTATCGGTGGCCGTGCTCAGATCGGAACGTTGACTTGCCAGCACCGTTTCGACCAACCACTCCGATGCGGCTGCCCATGGTCAGCCGTACGGTTACGCCCTTCAACCTGGCAGGCGCATGCAGCAACTGCCTTGCCGTCTTTAAGCGAATAAGGTCAACGGTCAAAGACCCCACGGGACCCCTGAAGGCGATGTTCGGGGACTCTGGAGACTGTGTGAGCCTGTGAGCCTGCCGTTTGCCGGCAAACCACCGCTTCAGAGTCCAAAAAGCATGCGCACAAGCGCAAGGTACCCTGGAAGACAGCAACATAATGCTCTGTCTCACCCATGACTACGGTTCAGGCCGCGTTGCACTAAGGGGGCATCCTCAAAGTACTTGAAGTTCAGGTTGGTCACCTGCAGATTGTTCACATCATTGCGTGGCGGCGTGGCATGGCCAAGGAACTGGGCTGCCGGCTGTTGCCACCGGCTTGCTGGCCGTACCGAGTCCCTCGATCTTTCCTCCAAGAGTTTGAGACAAGCTGAAGAGATGTGCCGTCATCCACCCGACGCCTTGCAAAGCCTTTCACTATGAGATTGAACCCTTTTCTCCTACGGTCCAGCAATAGAACTGGCGAAGAGTGCACCATGCCCTCGCTCCTGCCTGGCATAGGAAATCTCATGCCGTCCTCGTCTCCATCCGCGGGTAAAACTCCCAATTGCTTGCCTTCTGCTGGCCTGTGGTCCGGCATGGCAATGGAACCGTGAGTCTTGCCCGCACGCCTTCCCCATTGCTGGCTGAAGCGCTTCTCTTGATCATCCTGTGTCTTGCCTTCGTGACCTCTCACCGTCAATACCTGGGCCAAGAGTTCTACAGAGATAGACGGTTCTCTCACCGAGGCGCAGACGACAAACAGCGACCTCTTTGCAAGAACTTTGCTTCAAGCCGGGCTCGGGCCCTGGCGCTTTTGGCCCCCTCGGCATCCAGCTTCGTCTTTTCCCTCGGCTCACAGCTCGCAGCAGACTGCGCTCGCCTGGCAAGCCATGCCATGCCAGGCGATGCGCCTGAAGGCATCGAAGTTTCCCTGGTAGTACACCAGCTTTCCCTCCTTTGTGAAGTGCACGATGTCCTTGTCGGGATGTATTGAAAATCCAGGCTCCACACTCACACTCCAAGCCTTCTTGCTTCCCAGACTCCGTGCAGGCATGATTCAGGAAGCCGGCATCGTGTGAGATGATCATGGCGGTTATCCTCTTGCCCTGCCGCTGAGTCAAGACCACTGACGGTGAAATGTAATACTATATAGACTATAATGTAATGCCATCGTCCCCGCCGGAGCCTGTGTCACTAGGTAATTTTGGAGCCACCGGACGGCCTGACCATGAAGAGGCGATGCTCAGATGCCTGGGTGCTGGATAAACGAATGCAGCTAAGCCACGACGGAATCTAAGTGGTTTGTCGGCTCGTCCAGCAAAAACACGTCCGCGCCCTGGGCAACGGCGCAGGCCAAGGCGAGCCGCATCTTCCAGCCTGGTGTGGGACATTGTGGGACGAAAGGACCACGACTTTCCATCGAGGACGGACTCAAAAAATGAAACGACGAAGTTCGGGCAACGACGTGGACACAGACAGGGAGAGCGACATGTGTCGTCAGTCGTTCAGATGCAGCCTCCACTCAACTCGCCAACCTGCTTGCCTGAGCTCAGTCAGTGACAAGTGGGACGGCAAGCTTCTCGACCACTGCCAAGTTGCTGAACATGTCCGAGTCGAAGCCAACATCGTGAAGGTACTTGTCTGTGGAGCGACTGTCAATTCCTTCGCACTTCCTGGAAAGTGGCGGCTTCAAAAGCCGCGCGAGACTCCATTCATGAAGCGCAGCCGAGGCTCAGCTTCACAAACTCACCTCAACGAATCGCAGGCAAAGGAAGTAACACGTGGCTCTCGCACTTGGACTGGGGACAAGTTGCTGCAGGAAGTTCTTCTGTCGATGTTGTCCAAGATCCCCTCAGAAAAAGGCCAAGGCGGTGCCGCTCAGCAGTCCGAGTTTATCAACTGCTCCGCTCTCCTCGTGCTCCAGGTGGTAGCACTTGAGCTTCTCCATGCCAGGCAAGTCGCCAACTGCAACCCTGAGTCTAGAGTCTAGCAGCTGCCCGTCATGAATCTTACAAGACAAACCGAGTCCAGCTATGTCCAGCTATCCTTGCTCACCCCACCGGCCTTGACATCAAGGTTGTCTTACCAGCGCCGTTCTGTCCAACGATGCCTGAATCTGTCTGAACAGAAGCGAATATGTTTGGGATTTGTGGGCACGATGCTTTCAACCAGCCTTGCTGTGACAACAGACCATGCCGCTGCAGCACAACGGCTGCATGAAGGAATCTTGATTTTCTACACTAGGCGAAGCTAAGTAGGATTCCATACCGGCGGCCGCGTCGAAGTTCAAAAAGGGTGTTGCTCAGCAACGGCTTGACCTGAGCACATGCAAGAGCCAGTGATCACTTTCAGCAAAACAACATAGGAGTCAGAGATGTACCAATTCACGGTCGAGGCACGCTGCCTCCGTACATCAGGATCAGGTTCCTAGGCGCAGAACAGGTAATTGCCCTTCGGAGAGAAAGGGATGGAAATCAACGACGAGTAGATATGGCTTGTGGCACCGGCTACCTGCAGGGATGCGAACTTATTGCCCAGACAGAAGCGCACAGCAACGCAAGCAAGCATGCTGCATCATGACCAGTTTGACCAGTCAATTCACTTGACTTGAGACTTGTCAAGGCTGTCAGACAGCTTGCTTGGATACGAAGGACTGAGCTCGTGGCTTCAAGAGCACTGCCAAACTGTCACGAAAGAACCATGTGGTGACGGCTAAGCCAACCAGCGACCCCTGGATTCTCAAGTAGAGCATACCAATACTTCGGCAATCCCTGCAAATTCAGCAGCGTGAAGTTCTGGGGCTGCCACGGAATGCAACAAACAAGGTCTTCATCAGACTTCGAAGTAGCAGCAACCTGCACCAACCGGACCCGTTGAAAGCCACAGCTTGCATTCTAGGGTCCGCAAGATTTTGGATTTGCGGGTGTCTGACCTCTTTGGCCGCATCCTTCGCTGGAAAAATCCTATCCTGAGCAATTGAAGCATCAAGTGTATAGCAGCGCATAGCCAGGTCAAGTGTCCTCTGAGGCCGCCTGAGGCCAAAACTAATAAATCCTTGAGAAAGGCATCGATGTCCCCAACACCGGCGGCCTCCAAATGAGGCCTCAACTGTCAATTGCCAGCACGACACTCATGTCCCACCGAGATCTTTGACATAAGATCCACACGCCACTGATTGCTCTAACTCTTCAGCGGCCTCCGCCCGCTTTGAGGCATCCTGCAAGGGCCGCACGTTCAGCCCCGCCGCGAAGGCCTTGCTTCCCCTGCCTAAGCCCAGGCGTTCCTGTGCTCGGTACTGTCGCGTAAACCGTGTCCATTGCAATAACACTCTCTCACGAATACAGGGCCATCAGGTCGCTAAAGCTAACCCCTGCAGCGGAATGGTTAAGTGCCGTAGCAAAAAGCATCCTGGAACAGCTAGCACTAAGCAACTGGATTTCATCCTCGAGGCAAAAGCAAGTCCAACGCAGCTCCTGAAGCAGGTCGACAGCAGAAGCCGTCAGGTATTCCAAAACCTTCCAGGCGCAGCCTAGGTCTACTGAAAGCAGTTCTGCGACTTCTATCCTTACACGTCCTTGCGCGGTGCAATCTTCGGAACTCAGAAGGTGATAGACCAACGCAGCAATTGACAGCAAGGTCATCAAGATGAACTGATTCAGTGCTGCTTTCAAAAGGCAACCTTCGCTGGCCTGCTCGTACCTCACACATCTGCGAGACGCACTGATTGGGACAACCATTACATCACAGAACGGTTGCGATGGTAGTGGTTGCGGTTCAGCAACCGCTTTCTGGCAGGTAGTGGCTACGTGTACTGTCTGCCACTTAGGCCCAGGTCAGAGAGCCTGACCGCTTTTGAAGCTCAGATAGCCACGGACAGCTGGTTCGGCAGTCCACCAGCCCCGTGTTCACGTACCGCCGCGAATACGCTGTGGTTTCGCTGTCATCTGACAGTGAAGCAGCACCAGCTTGCTGCCTGCATCCAGCAGAAATCACCACCTGCTAAAGACTGTGGCCTTTGCGTCGGCAGTTTTTTCCCCTACTTAGCATAGACGAGGCCGCCGAGTTGAAAGCAGCGGCAGTTTTGTTCAGCTGGATTATCACCGACGCCTGTGCTGCTGGTTCCCGCGGAAACAAGGCAACGAAGGATCGAAGTATTTTGGAGCTGACGGTCTGCTGGACGCACGTGGCCGGCCGAAGCTCCAAGGCCAGCCCGACTCCTGGCCATCCTCTGAACGGAGGCTGATAGCCCAGGCAGTGCACAGCATCATCGTCATCGGCATCAGATTTGTCATGAGCCGTGTCAAACGACGAAGCACCACCCCGTGCTCAATTTCAGAAACAGTGATCCATACCAACGACGACAAAACTTCTGAGAAGACTGCGCTGCAGCAGACTTGACCAACTCAAGCCTGAAACCGGATCGACACAGGAACAACCCCGACCTCCTGGTCGACCCCTTTTTCGGCCAAAGATGCCTCAGCCAGGCAGACACACAAGAATGCTAAGCGCACAGGCCATATGCAGTAGCAGCTACAACCGAAGCCAAGCTCTTTTCGTTTCGATTCGGCGCCCTTTGTCGCAGACTGTTCTTCCGTCTTCCTCACTGCGCTCTTTCGGCTCAGAGGGCGGAGTTGGGCTTGTCAGCATAGTCAGCATAGTCGCCAATGGTCTGGCCCACCCACCTCTGCACTTAAACTGGCCATCTTTTTCCGGGGCTTGCGTGCACAAGGCAGCCGAGCAGCTCGTTAGCGAACTTGCCCATGGGATCCAGTTTTCGCGCAAAGGCCCGAAAGTCTGCAAGCACAGGGCCATAAAGCGACTCCAGACCTCAAATCAGCGCACTAGATTTCTTCATCTTCGTTGGGCACTGGAGTTGAAAGCCCCAGCAGAGCTGGACAGCAGCACAGCCCACAGCCAAAGGCCCACAGTCCGCAGACTTACAACACCTGAAGCCCTCGAGGCCAGAACAACGGCTGCTTTGCTGACTTATTTGGTGCATGTAATGGGATCTGCTTTCCTCGCTGCCCTGCTCACTCCCAAGCAACAGGAAACCGCAGAATTGCAGACACAACTCATCTGCTGACATGACTACCCCCGGCAAGCTTTGTACTGGACACGGGGTGGCCCCGGAGCAGCAATGCAACAACTGTGCACCGCACGCGGGCGTGACATCACAAAGAGCTTGCCCCAGTGCGGTCTCGCTTGGAAAGGTTCAAGTGCCTCCTCCACAGCCGGCAACACCAGCGACATGACCTGTGTGAAGGTGCAGCGTCCAAAGGATGAGACAGCTCAAGGGGCCTCTCTTGTTGCTGGTGATGTGGCCGGCCTCGTGCTGCCTCATGCGCCACGTAAAATGAAATCCAACCTTGTCGAATTGTGTTGGCAGCAAACAGCCGAACGGCATAGATGGTATAGATGACGAGTAGATGCAAAAGTAACATGACAGCTCCTCGCAGCAAAGTCGGCTACAGATCGCGTTGCGGTTCTGCACATGCTATCCGATATTCCTCTACCCGATGATATCCCAAAAGACGCGAATCCGAGGTCCACCTCCACGCCATGGAGACCCAATAAGCCTGTCTTGTGTCCTTGAGCGGTATCTGTTTTACAACTGCAGCGATCTTAAACACGTCTTATCATCGGATGTGCAATGACTCGGTTGCACGAGCTTGCCTTCGGGCACGTGCGCGCAAATCCACAGAGACAGACAGACTCCCGGCTTGAAAGCGAAGAGCTCCCGACCGTGCTGGTGGATATGGACCCAATCTGGACGCAACGAGGGGGCTCATCCTACGTTTCGACTGGTTCGCAGGAAGAGCTTCCCCGTTATTTTTCGTGGTGGTCGGGCGGGACACAGCCCAGGCAGTCACCCCATGCCCCCCAATTGCAGTGTCTAAACACCTCAACCGTCAAATACCAGAAAACGAGAGGAAAGGTGTCCTCGAGCGGGGCAGTTTCTCTCACTCACTCACTCTCGCACTCACTCATTCAATCACTAACTCACTCACTCGCCCACTCTGTGACTCTGTCACTCTCCGTCTCTTGCTTGCACGCAGCCACAAATGAAGCAATGCCCCTTCCCGCGCACGAGTGCGCGCTGGTTCTTGTCTCTGTGTGCAAAACAAACCTCTCTGTCTCTCTTCACTTCACTTCACGAGGGCTATAGGCTTCGAAAAGCCCGCGCCAAGGCGCCCCCATCCCCCATTTTGTGGTGGGAGGGGCCTTGGGGCTGTCGTGCACGGGGTTGTTCCCCGGTGGTGTGTACGAACGGTAGAGTCTGCCTGTCAGTAAAACCAACCCCCCCGAACACTATCGCGCATCCCAGCCTCATCACCGCTCACTCAAGCTAAGTCCTTAGGCCTACAACAGGCAGATCCCCCCGGCAGTTACAACGGCTTGGTATCACTTCCCCTCATTGGATGCACATACACTGCGCTAAGGCGCCTGGGCTAAGTTGATAGTGGTTGGGGAAGTGTGCAGCAGAGTTTGAGTGTATCAACAACTTGTCATAGTGCATGTTCCCCTCTGTTGCACAGTATATAGCCGGTTCAAGCCTCTGCAGACTCGGAGGCTGTTTTCAGAAAGACACCATTGTAACAGTGAACATATGATCCCGTATGAATCCCAGGATTGTTCCCCCTTACCGGCAACAGCGTCACGACAAAAGTATGCGGATCACAGGATGCCGCCTTCTTTTCGACTAGAGTGGCAAGTACATGGAGGCACTTTGAAGCAACACTTCGGCAACAGCAGATATAGAGATCATAGGACTGCCCCCTTGTTTGTTTATGCGGACCTGGCAGGGCACTGTAAGCGGGAAAGCATAGTGAAAAGTGTTAGCTGGTAAATCCGTGTCGAGTACTAGGGTGCGGCTTTCCCCCTTCAGATCGGCCCATGTCGGTCAAAAAAGACAGCATGTAGGCACCTCCGGCGGTGTCATGCCGGGCTGGGGCCCTCATGAGGCCGTCTGGCAACCGACGGTCGCGTCGTTTCCCCCAGCGCTGCGGTAGTTGGCACGGTCGAGGTTTGGCTGGAGGCCGTGTCCCCTGATTCCCCGGCAGTGGGACGGTTGGCTTGTGTGCCGTTGTTGTTCACCCTGGGGTCCCTCTGTTATGGTTCGCCCGCTGCTGTTGTGATCTGCTGGTGGTAGATGTGGTAGTTGCTGGCTGCCGCTGCTTTTTGCTTGTGGTGGGTCTGTTCTGTCCGCACTGGCTGCCCTGCTTGCACGGTTGGGTTCCCCCACCTGTTGGGCTTGCCGGGGTTGGTGGTGTTTCCGACTGCTCTGCCTTTCTCTCTGTCTCTCTCTCTCTCTCTCCCGGGCATGAGGGCCTGTCAAAGCCCCCGGGCATCATGCCCACCCGACGTTTTGTTTTTCTCTTTCTCTTTCTCTCTCTCTCTCTCTCTCTCTCTCTCTCTCTCTCCCCCGGGCATGAGGGCGGGTCAACGCCCTCGGGCCAATGGCCCCCCCGCTGTGTTAACGGGTCTGAGGGGTGACGAACGAGTTATGAACACAGTTTCGGCTAAAGCCATATAATGATACGATATCGCCAACTGTGTTCATGTACTCTCGGTTCGACACATGCACTGTCATTCCCCATATTCCCACTTGCATTTGCAGGACCATAAAGAATGACATGACTTTTGGGTTTTTTGGGGCATGACTCCAGGAGTTCGTTCCTTTCCGGAAGGATATTCAGTCATCCCCCGTTTGATGTGATGCCGACAAGGGATCCGCGAACTAAATAAAATACACCATAGAGAACAACATAGTCCCCCGGTTCTTCGGCATCAACAGTGTTGGGGTTCAGGCAAGTGAATCTTGGAGGTCTCAGTGCATCGGAGATTTCACATTAAAAGCAATGACACAGCCATACATCCCCCGCCTAAAGGCAACGCGTGTGTACAAGCAATATCTTCCCCGATGTACTTGATCGCCTCATTGGTGTCTCCACTTTTTCGCAAGCCTTACCTCTTGGGAGGCTTTGAAATAGTGTATGTCGCAAGCAATGGAAGGATGAGGGTAAGGAGACATGAATTCTGAGGTGGGGAGTAACCAAGGGTACACGTGCATAAGGGTTTTCCTTCCATGCGGTTACGACTGTTTCTGTACTTTTTGTCACTCGTGCTCGACAAGTCAGACGAGGGTTCGGCTACTGACGACATCACATAAGGCCTGCCAGCCCTCATTGGGGCCAACCGTTCAGCATTAACAAAGCATCGGCGACCAAATCTTCTACGCATCCAAACTCTACCATCCAGCGACGAAGGCAACTGTCCAAAGCATAAGTTCATGGCACAGTAAAGCTATCACGCCACAGCCAATCTCGACAAGTTCCAAAAAGCAAGCTTCAAACCGCGTAAGGCCCTCGATCCGTACGACAACGAGCTTCCCGTGCAGTATAAAGCCTCCAGTCCAGTGAAAACCCAAGCGATGCAACCTGCATCTCTCTGCCCTGAGGGCCAAAACAGTCAACATTTGCACCCCCAGTGATGCCCGCAAAAAGGGGGTTCGGAGATCCAAACTCCCGCATGCAGCGGCTTCCAGAAGGTGCGAACCAGCGAGACAAAGAGGTCTCTTGTCCGGGAAAGCCCACACCATCTATGTGAGTCTTCCTGTGGTCCATTCATGTCGCTCCGGTCCAGCAGGTGTTGAAAGGCCAGGTGCTGAAAGGCCCGCCCTAGTAGCCCATCCACGATGTCCGAGTGTCAGCAAAGCATCCAGCAGATTCCAGCAGATATCGAGGCCTGCAGCAGAATCATCTGACTCAGCGAGGCAGGAAGCAAAAATGCTTGATGATCCACTCCTGTCGATCATCATTTCCGGTCCAGAAGGAAGTTGATACAGAGCCACCCTAGTAGCTCATCCATATTGTCCGATTGTTGCAGCAAGCGTCCAGCAGGTTCCAGCAGATGTCGAAACCGTCATACCATGGCGCGCCGTTTATTCTACAGGCGGACACGGCCGATGAGCTCAAGCAGCCCAGTGCCAGTCCCCGGGGCCGTCGGGGGCCGTAACAAAGATGAGGGAATATACCCCCTGTTTGGCAGGTCGGCTTGCAGCGGGTATGTGAGGGATAGACCTCACCGCAGTCGCCAAGGGGAGAGGCAGGTGAGGCACAGGCAGAGAGGGAGGGGAGGGGCATCACCCATGCAGCACCACCAGGGGGCCGCAGCAACATCCACCCATACACGCACATTTACAGAAGCAGGCAGAACACACGCACCATCACCAGGAGCAAAAGCAAAGGACAGCGAAATCCACACAGGCGTCATGAGTATTTCACTACAATAGAACAGGCAGCCGTTCACCCTTCAAGAACCTCGCGCGTGGGCCCGCATTTATGCCATCAGGCTCCTCGTCTGGCTCACGCTAGATGTGCATGTACATTGTCAAAGCAGCCTGAAGATGGCTGTCCTGACTGCGGATCACTGCATTGCTCATGTCCAGGCATCCACAGGAAAGGATCACGAAGCAGGAGGGAAAAACAGTGCAAGAGCAAGGCAAGGCAAGGCAGGAAGGCAGGCAGTACAGTACAAGCAAGGAAGGCAGTGCAAGGAAGTGAAAAACAGTGCAGCAGTGCGGGGAAAAAACCCCGAGAAAGTGTACAGATCCAGGTGTCAGCCGCCGAGAAAAGGAAAGCAGGATACGAAAGAAACCCTATGCAACAAAACCCACAAGTCGGCTGACCCCCGAATGATGCTGCGCTACGGGCAAGGCCGTCCAAGGCCTGCAGACCTGCAGGGCTCTCATTCACGGCCCATGTTGCACGGCCGCTGCTGGAACAGGAAAGACCTGCCCATTCCAGACCAAGTTCACCATCTCATTCGCTGGTTGGTTGTGCCCGCTCCCCTGCGGCATGGTGGGTGCGTTGTGTGGCACCTGAGGTGTAGGCTGAAGGAGCTGCACGTGTGGAGCCAACCGCATCGTCGGCGCCGACACTGATGCCGTACGAGTGGCCGCAGGCATGCATGGCCCCACCGAGGGCCCAGTCACGGGGGGCTGCCATTGACCAGGGGTTGCGAAGGCGGGGGCAAAGGCGCCTCCTCCGCAGGCATGTTCGGTGCCGGTGAGCTCGGAGGCGGCGCTTTTGGGCGAGCCGCTGCCAGCTTGTTGGTGGACTGTTCCACCACCACCAACTTCGAAAGTGCAGTCTCCATGCGTCCTTCGAGGTACTGGACTTGAGTCTGCAGCTTCTCCATGTTCTGGTTCATAGCCTTCATCTCGGTCTGGAGGTCCTTGACAGCCACCAGGATGCTGGTAAAGTCGGTGCCCCCGTCAGTGCTGCCTGCTGGTTTGCTTCCAAGGGCAGCATGTATGGAGTCCAGCTTCCTGTGGGCATGTTGAAGGCCCTTCCCAACATCTGT